TTAATCTAAAGACAGAAAAAAATTGTCTTCTGAAAAATTTCTTAATAAGAGACTTTTAATCTCCTAAAGGTTGGAGACAAAAGTAAGAAAAATATGGTTAGGGAGACGGTTACTACTTTTGCCAACGTAGGGATTGCATATACAATATACCTTGAAAGAAATTGTGACCCACATGCCAAACTCGTGGTCTTTTGGATGGAATCTACCCAAAAGGACCAATTGTGCCAAAATGTAAAGATTTGAGATCATATATGTCAAGTTTGAAAGGTTTGGACCCAAAAAAGAACAAGATAAACAAATGTTTGGGACTATACGTGCAATTTTCCGAACCAATTTGACTTGTTAGAATAGGATTTAGGGCATCTCCAACAACGTAAAATATACTGTAAAGGATAGTGTAATGAATAGTGTTAAGTCAAATATAAGAATTTGGTGTAACATTATTCATTTAAATCAAGTGTAATTATATTACCACCACAAACTTTAATTACTATACAACATTGTAATCAAACCACAATTAAAATATAATTTTAATAAATACACCACAACAAATTTACAATTATATTCTTAATACAACTAAAACTAAAATTGAAAAAATTAAATAATTTCTAGTACAATAAAAACTGAAAATGACAAAAATAAATATGTGGTGTACACATCATCCAATATTAATAAAACAACATTCTTAATAGTCCCAACAAGGAGACTACTCCTGACGGAGGAGAAAATTTCGAATAGAGACGTATGCAATGGTGGATTGCCGTTCCTTCATCTCCACTTGCGGTTATTATTTGAAATGTGGTAACTGCTACAACTTTTTCAAAACTGAAACATCAGTTCCTCTGCATTTCCTCTGAGCACTACAAGAAGACGATCCACTCTAACTATTGTATCGTCCAGCAAGAGGTATCCACCGTCATCTCCGACGTACCTGTGGCCGCCAATTTTGATATCTCCCGCGATTAGGGGCATAGCTAACCGTTTGAAGTAGGGGGATCCCAGCCCCTGAATTTTTTTTTGGATACCTTATTAACAAAAAACTCCAAAAACATATAAAAGAAAGTACCAATATTTAATTTAGCAAAATCATACCTTTTTACAAGTATATTACACATGAAATTTTTTTTTTTACATAAATTTTTTTTCCCAACTAAAAAAAAATCAGTGGGTGGGGACTGGACCGGGCTACTGCCTGGGCCAGCCCCCCTCCATCCGTCCCTGGTCCATAGTCACGTGAAAATTTTACCTGAATTTTTTTCAACATTTCCTATTGTTTGTCCCATTATAGAGAGGCATAAATTAAGAAAATAGGATACAAGTCGAGGACATGGAAGACTTGCATGTCATGCTTGTTATGTCGGATGAAGTAGTAAAGTATGAAAGATTATCGAAGTTTCAAGTAGTTTGATTAGTGTCGGCAGCATGTTTGAGTTGGTTCTTGTAGACTTCAACCTATTTGACATATTTATGTTGATTGGAGGTACTTAACGGAGAGAGTTCTGACAAAATTCTTTCAAATGATGCTATGAGCCTATTTGATTTAACTAAAAATTAGGTTTTCAATAGATTTTGATAAAATTTTGATTAAATATGTGGTTAAAAAGTTGTGGAACATATAAATATGTGGTTGAAAATAACTTTGACGATAACAAAATTTTAAAAAAGTAAGGGTCAAATCCTATTTTTCATTTTTCCACGAGTTCCCCATCCTCATGGTTTCTCTTCCATTGTGAATGCAAGAATAATCTATGCAAATTGGCATTTGGGAGGTCCATCAAACGGTCACTTGATATCGACCTTGGCTGCACCTTTTTAGTTTACGCGTCGTCCCACGTGAAGGCCTCGTCTTAGTGCTCAAAAGTGAGTAAAAAGATACCGCTTAGGGCATCTCAGGTGAGGAGATGAGATCTGCTATCCAATTTATTGTTTACTCAATTAAATTTTAATGCATCATTTTTAAATTGACATATCTAATTTTTCTCTTACTACTCCTTATGCTTAAAAATATGTGACATTTTACTGTAAAATTATGTGTCAATAATTAATTGATATACAATAAATTAGACAGCAGACCTCAACTCCTCTAGCGAGTGGCCAAATTTGACATAAAACATCAAATTTGTTGTTAAACCCTCTCCAATGAGACCCCAATTTTTTTGTAACGCTATTCATTTACACCAAATTTGAGAATTTTTAATAATTCCATTTTGTAATTCTTTCCACTTTATAACAAATGTTTATTTCATCTGTATTCCTCTTTTATATTTTAAAATTAATATATTTTAATTGATTTATAGCTGTTTAGTGTGATGGGTATTTTTATTTAACATTTATTTTTAAATTCTAATCAATTAATAAATAATTATTATTTCAACAATAAATTAAAATTGTTCATTACAAAGTCAGAATTTACAAATTTATTAATAAATGGAATATTTTTACTTTATTAAATATAATTTCTAATTCAACGATTTTTGTAATAATATGATTTATAAAAATAAATTTTGTATAAAATAATTCAAAATAAATTTTGGTATAAAATTTAGTGTAAAACCATACCCAATGGTTTACACTGAAGACTGTGTTAATCAACTCATTTACAACTTAAGCTCCCACTTATATAATTTTCATAAATGAGTGATGATGAGACTTAACTAGGAGCAGACCCTGGTTTGGACTAGTGATGGCAAAAAAAACTCGTCCTGCCTTGGTGCTGTCCTGCCCCGACTGGTTGGTGGGGTGGGACGCGATGGGGTGGGGTGCCCCGTCCTGAAGTGGCTCGAACCTGCCCTGTGAAGAATAAAAAGCATAATTAACTAAAAATTAAAAACAAAAAATAGTTAATTGAAAGTTTTTGAAAAAAAATAATAATAATAAACGGGGCAAGAAACGGTGCAAACCCGCGCCCCGAACCCTCCCCGCCCCGTCCAAGGTGGGGCAGGGCTCGAGGCGGGATGAGGTGATGGAGTGGCGGGGCCCGCACCCCTCCCCGCACCATCTCTAGTTTGGATCAGGGTAGGCTTTAGCTCCCCCTAAAGGGCCTAAACCTGCCCAGCAGGGTACCCAATGTACACTTGACCACACAGGACAAAAACCCACTGCCCTAGCCCAACACAAATGGCCCCAATTTAATTTCCTCCAATTTTTCTTCCTCCAGCCAACAAAATCAATCCCAATTTCTTCAAATTTTCTTCAAGGTTGTTTCAGTTTCAAGTCTAAGTTGCCGAGTTCGAGTCTTTAATTTAGTCTATTGTATGACACCATATCGATCGAGAATTTGCTGAGGCAATGTAATAGCTGAAATTCATGCTGCAAAACTTCGTCCGCCACAACTTTAGTAGGTAATGTCATATTTTGACTTTCTATAATTTTATTCGTGCATCGACTTTACATGCCAGCCCCTACCATTTTGTTCTGGGACCTTCCCGGGATTTAACTCAAGTTTTTTGCCTAGCAAAATAGGTCGTACTTGGGCAAAAAATGTCTAAAGTGGCATTTAATGTAATAATGAGTATGGTTGACAACAAGAGGTATTTTGGTGAAGAATAGGAGACTGAACACGGGAGATCAGAGAGGTTTTTAACCACACATTCTTCAAAAATTTAATATTCAAAAAAAAATTTTAAAATAAAAAATGACCACCAAACAGAAGCCAAATGTATGACGCATGCATGATTTTAATAAATTGATAGTGATGGACTTGGACTCGAGACGTATTTACTTAAAATATCACGTTTAGTTATTTCATATAAAAGTTCAAGTAACTTTACTCGTACTCTTGAGCGTAAAGTGGAAACACGATGATGATATAACTCCAAGATTGTTCAAGTTTGGTAGACATCATTAATTGGCACGGTGGTAGGACATTTGAGGACATTGAAATGTTTAGTGAAGAACAAGTAAAAGTGCAAAAGGCAGAGGATTATAATTAGGTGGCTGATTTTTCACGTTTCCTTTTCCCTATCGTGGAGAGAGATTGATGTCAAATTTTAAAATGGGGGCTAAGGTTGTGTCAAGTATATTGTATTAGACCGTAAAAATTTAGTTGATTATTTAATTAGATTGTGCATATTAAATTAAGAAACCTCCTCTGGCGCTGAAACTCAGCTCATTAGCCCTACTTTGACCCATTTTCATTTCACTATATACATGCAATACATGCGATCCATTTAACAATTAAACTATGCTTTTTTTTTTTTAACCCTAGCCAAACTCCCTATCCCATCTCTTGCACTCATATTATATCTCGTTCGATCGTTGATGTGTCAGTCGAAGTGTAAACGGTCGTGGGACATTTTTTCTCGGTTGACGACTTTTGCATCCAACGAGGTGTTCGAGTGCGCAGATGATGTTTATGCTAAAAGAGGGTGGTCGAGAAATTCTGTTGGCACATTTCTTGAAATTAACACCTCAGTGTACAACCTTTACGATAGGGGTGTGCACTGGGTAGCAAAACCCTAATTTAAAGTTGCGAGATGTCAATTCCAGAGCTATCCATCCATAACATTTTAAGTAATGCCAAAAAATCAGATTACATCTTTATTGAATGTTTAAAGGTCCATTTGGCATAACTATTGAAAAATCAAAATGAGCTTTTGAGATTTAAAAGTTGCTTTTAGATCCGTTTTAACTAATTTTATGAAAGTATTTTTTTCTAAATAAGTTGGTTTAATGTGATTTCCCTTAAAAGCACTTTCATAATGCAAAACACTTATAAAAATTAATCTTTGAAAAAAATAACTTTCTTCAAAAGCTCTTTTACAGAAAGTAAAAGCAAAAGTTATGGAATATTAAAGAAAAAAAGGAAGTTAAAACGTTGTTCTACGTCAATTATAGCGTGGTCCATCCGTAACAAGTTACTCCAACGAATCCATCCTATAAAAGAAGCACACTCCAAATATTATACATGAATTCTTGCATACTGATTTGCTTGAGCCATGGAAGAAGTATATTTTTATACATTTCTTACTCTATGCTTAATCTTTCCAATTTACAAATTCATGTCCAGAGGAAAACAGTACTACAACTTGCCACCAAGCCCAGTCTTCGCCCTCCCCATTCTCGGGCATCTCCACCTCCTGAAACAACCTCTTCACAGAACTCTACACAAACTTTCTCAAAAACACGGCCCAATCTTCTCCCTCTGCCTCGGTGTCCGCCGTGTCGTGGTGGTGTCATCCCCGGAGTTGGTGGCAGAATGTTTCACGGAAAATGACGTCGTTTTCGCCAACCGTCCTCATGTTCTTGTAGACAAGTACATAGGCTACAACCACACCAGCATGACGGGAGCCCCCTACGGCAGCCATTGGCGCAACCTCCGCCGTCTTAGTGCCCAGGAAGTGCTCTCCATCGCTCGGCTCAACACGTTTGAGCCAATCCGACGAGATGAAATCAAAAGATTACTCCAAAGCCTGTACAGAACTTCGTGCAATGGATTTGCAAAGGTTGTACTTCGGCCAAAACTGTCTGAAGTGGCATTTAATATGATAACGAGGATGATTGCAGGGAAGAGATATTTTGGTGAAGTAAAGGAGAGTGAACAACAAGGGAAAATATTTCGCGAACTAATCAGCGAGGTTTTTAAGCACGCTCACGCTTCGAATCCAGAGGATTTTTTGCCTTTTCTGAATTGGGTTGATTATAGAGGTTTGAAGAAGAACATGGCTGCTCTTGGGAAGAAATTGGATGATTTTTACGAAGGTTTGCTCGAAGAACACCGGCTGGAGAAGAGAAACACCATGATCGGCCATTTGTTGTCTCTACAAGAATCGCAGCCGGAACTTTACACCAATCAAACCCTTAAAGGGCTTATCACGGTATGAGTCTAAATTTTACCTTCAACGCGCTTCTCTATGTGCTATAAATCAATTTATTTTCGTTAAAATTGAGACCCGTTCGTAATTTTCATAAATATATAATCCAAAAACTTGAACGCTATTATATACTTAAGAATTGTGTTTGACGGTTTCATCAAAAGCACGTGCCATAAGTTTTATCTTCAAAACGCACTCTTATGTACGTCAGCAGGTGCAAATAGTTTTAATTTTTTTTGTTAAATATAAGAACTCTTAATTTTTATAAACATATGACAGTGAAACTTGAATTCAAGATATTTCTTTATCTGGATGTCATATTTCATGGTTTCGTAAAGGTTTTGAGACTATCAGGAGTTTTATTGCTTGCACTGGAATGTACAAACTCATTGATGATAAAAACTCCAAGATTACTATTTGAGTTTGGTGGACATCATTAATTGCCAACTCCAACATTATTATTTGAGTTTGGTGGACATCATTAATTTCCACCATGGTAGGACAATTGAGCATTGAATTTAGAGTAATGTTATTCATCCCACTGGGGTTACAAACACAGTTTAGATGACGTTAATGCGTCATTAAATGATAGGTCATATATCATTTAATGGCAAATTAACGCCGCCTAGATGTTTGTAACTCCACTGAGGATGAATAATATTACTCTTGAATTTATGCTAAAGAAGTGTAAGTTGTATGTCTAATGGTTTGTTTCACGATATTTTTGAAAAGTTAAAAGTTATTTTTAAGATTGAGAAATAGTTTTTCAATTTAGTTTTCTCATAAAACTCTTGTACAATATGCAGAAGTGAAAGTATAAGTCATGTCGATCTAGCTAAAGAAAAGATTATAATTTAGGTAGCCAATTTCCCACGTCTCCTTTTTAGAGTCAACTGATGTAAAATTATAACGCATTTAACTTATTTTAAGGTTTCCCTTTTCCTTGGGAGAGTGATTAATGTCAAAGCACAGTAGCATGTTTGGGGAAAGCTTAAAAGTTATTGTTATTATTTTTTTTTCAAAAGTAAGACGAGAAATTAACTTTCGAGTTATTAAAAAGTGCTAGTAGTTGGACTATTACTCGTTGCTTTGATGCATATAAATGTTGATTTGAACTTTTTTGCTCTTTCTTGGTCTCCATGTCGATTATAGCTGTTGATTTGAACTTTTTTTTCCCTTTTCTATCCTTGATTTTCACGTTTATTGACAATAAAGTGATAAACACACGGTAATTTCAAGAATTTTCATGTTCGATGTGTAGAACATGGTGATCGCAAGCACAGACACGTCAGTGGTGACCATAGAGTGGGCAATGTCCCTTTTGCTTAACCACCCTAATGTGTTACAAAAGGCAAGAGATGAGTTGAACGCACGTATTAGTCTCAATGACCTGATTTCGGAACAGGATTTGTCCAATTTGCCTTACCTTAAAAACATCATTTTGGAGACCTTTCGCATGTTCCCAGCTGGACCATTGTTGGTGCCCCGTGAGTCATCCTCGGACTGCAAAGTACAAGGATATGACATTCCACGTGGGACAATTTTACTTGTCAATTCGTGGGCAATCCATCGGGATCCTAAGGTTTGGGATGACCCAACGAGTTTCAGACCTGAGAGATTTGAAGGTCAGGAAGTGGAGACACACAAGTTGATGCCATTCGGGATGGGGAGAAGGGCATGTCCAGGTTCGGGCTTGGGACAAAGGATGGTGGGATTGGCTTTGGGATCATTGATTCAGTGCTTTGAATGGAAGAAAATAAATGGAGAAAACGTTGATCTAAGTGAAGGGATAGGGCTAACAATGCCTAAAAAGCAGCCATTAGAGGTAATGTGCCAACCTAGAGAAATTGTGCACAAGGTTCTTCAAGAATCAGACAACAACATTTGATTGCATCACATAATCTTATAAATTAACCATATGTTTATTGTCTGTATCCAGGAGCATATATACGTACTACGATGTTGTAGATATATGTTTTGACGATGAACGTATGAATGTATTAAGGGCTATCTTGTGCACTTAATTTGCTCAACCATTTTTCACTCTTTTTTACTTTTAACGAAATACCAACTACATTGCATTAAACAAGAAGAGTTCATCAACACGTATGACACAAATGAATGACGATCAAGGGGTTTGTTTGGAGATATGATGACACGTCCAAGGCTGGAATAAGAGCTCATAAATGAAGAAAATATAATTTATCATGTTGGATAATGTAAATGTCGACACGTATGGTTAGAACGTCGACACTTGACTCACTAGTTTCAAGTTTTGATGCATTGGAAAATAGATGTTGAAACCTGATGCACGAATTTAAAGTTTTGATGTAGTGGAAAACAAGTGTCGTCACCTATATCATTGGTGACGAAACTCAAGGGTCAAATTTCAAAATTTAAATTTCAAGGAATTCTAGTGTGGACACCTATCTTTAGAGGCGTCGACACATAAATGCAAACACCCTTGTTTGACTTTACTTTCACATGAGTGAAAAGCTAAGTGTTTGAAGGAAAATGTGACGGTGCTAGAGGCCTAGAATATCTCCACTCGTACTACGCTCGAAACATCCACGATTTATACTTTTAATATTACATCACTATTCCACGTATCAACGAAAGATAGACAAGGAACTGTTAAAAATAAGTTCAATTAATTTTTCCCCCGTAGGTTTCGACACTTGGGCTTCACGTGTCAACAACAAACTCTAAGAAGACAATAGTTTTAAAACATATTGGGCCCCACGTCGAAACTCAGGGCTTAGGTGTCGATACCGAGAAATTGGAAATTACTATGCCATTGTTGAAAATCAAAACTGTTAACCAAAGCGAAAATTATAAAAATCTAAAGTTGGTCACTCCAACGGTTGATTTCAATTTTTGTAGCATCGTCACATACTCGTCCCACTTTCGACATATGCACTCCATTCAAAAAATAATCCTAAACCACCATCGTGAAGTACTCATTGACATTCATCATCTCCATCTCCTTGAATTAAATGGTCATGAGAGCATGATGAAAGCATTATTCAAACATAGAATAATGCTACATATACATTATGGTACACATAATGGTGTCCATAATGTACATGTAGTATAACCCTTCAAACATAATCTTTTAACTTGTCTTATAGCGTATATAAATATTTATTATGTCCATTAGAGAAATTATTTTTAAAATTTTGAATTTTCGGGACATTACAATTTCTATTGAAATCATCTCACCTACACAATCAAACACTTTTCGAATAACATGATCTGAATGCAATAGTTCCACTTAACGCAGGACTCAAAATTATCTAACAATGGTAAATCTAGATCGAAAATAAGATCTTAATCCATGCATATACGATAAGTAAAACTTTACTTCCAAATAAGTTATAAATTTTAAACACACTTTATAAGAACGCCCTCGCTCATCGAAGTTTGTCACTATTTGACATTTCATATTTTCATAAGTTGGCTTTTAAGTATTAATGCACAATTGGTCTCCGTTAAATTTATGCAACCACATTTTCAACCTTCTTTATTTTCTTGGCACGCTGGTTTTAACATGTTTCAGAATTCATTTTGAGGTAATTTGGACAGAAATCATCTACTCGCAGTTACGAACGCTACGAAAGTGAATACTCCTTAAAGATTAGGTACCAAAATGTAACAAAAGAAGTATGTTGAGGGCCTCCACTACTATTTTCTCTTTTTCAGTCTTTATATAAATATATATCGATTTTGCTACATGTACACTTAGTTTGACATCCTGGATGACATTCTCTGATAAAAAGACATAAATGCCCTACTTCTATTATCTACTCAAGTCAATGTTCTCTATTCCTGATATAGGGTAATTTTGATGTGTTTCTCCTNAGAAAATTTCCAAAAGAAAATGGGTAAGAGCTCGAGCGAGGAATCAGCGAGTGATCGCGAGAACTCCTCTGGCGAGGTGCCGGAGTCCAATTCCAAAAACATCTTCTCTGAAGGCGAGAAGGTCCTAGCTTTTCACGGTCCACGCATCTACGAAGCAAAGGCATGCCCTAATTTAGCCTTCTCTCGTTTTATTATATATAAATTTAGTCGAAATGTTTTCTTCGTGAAGTTTTTATTTTGACTTAATTACACCGTATTGTTTCTTTTATAATTTCATTTATTATTGTATATTTTCGGGGCTATGAATCACTTTTTGAGCGGATAAAGAACTCTGACTTGTGGAGGTAATAGGAGAACAATTATGCTGTGTTTGTGCGGATGTGCATGTAGAATGTTATAAAGCCCTATTTGAGCTCCATATTTAAAATTTCATTTTAAAGCAATTATTAGTTTCAGTAAAATAATTTTGAACAGAAACTCAAAAAATCACTTTTTACAAAATCTATTCTGAAGAAATGGGGCTCAAACAGGGCCAAAATATCCTCTGGACATTTGAAGCTTTTTTTATGCATTTGTATGCATGTGCACCTATAATACACAGTCATGGAATTTAGTGTTAAAAACCTATATTAAAACCCTATAGTATAGAGGATGAATGCTGAAATTGAGTGTGTATAGAAGTATGTGTACTTATGTAACCACAATATTGCTTCTCATTTTACATATGCTAATATGATATCACATGTAAAAGTTTGAGTTACAAAAACGCGGGTTGTATTATTGTGTGTACTAATCAAATTGCTCCCCCTACATCAATTTCTGCAAGTGAAGATATTAGCAAAATATCAGCCAAGCATCGATGTATCCCTGAGTAAATCTTTGTCCGTGCTATTGTTTATTCACACCCCTTTGATACATATTTGTTTGGTATATGCAAATTCATACATATATTCTTGCAATATATGCATGGTTTACTCTTGTTGAAGCAAATGTGGTAATTAGGGATGGGATAAGTTAGCCCAAAAGTAGAAATTCTATGAAAAGACAACTCTCCATTTCCAATTCCACTCAAAATTGGTCTGGTCGTAGATTAATGAGTGTCGTCGCTAGTAGGAACTAACTGATTGGTTGACGTTTATATGTCATTAACGGGTTCGATATAATGTAGAACTCTTTTAATCAATTGTATTATCTGTTACTGGGATAATGTATTCAACTTCTTGTTTGTTTTGAGTATTTATATACCTGATATTTTTTTATCTTTTTACTTGGTTTATTTTCTTCATGATTTACTTTTTTTTTTTTTCCAATTCACTTTTCTATGAAGGTTCAAAAAGCAGAGATTCGGAAGAATGTATACAGATACTTTGTTCACTACCTTGTAAGTCTGATTATCGGCTTTCCTTTCTTCTTTTCCTCTATCTCAATTGTTTCTATCTCTTTGTCCATCAACATTTCATTTCTATGTTGTGTATTAATGCATTCTATGTTGCACCGACACGGACACGTATTAGATAAGTTGACACACGATTTTTTCAAAAAATTATTGTCACAACACGTTGATTAAATTCTTAAATTTTTTTTATTTATATAGTATAAAATAATTTATTTATATAATATAAATTTAGTTTTATACTTGTTATTAATTTCTTTTGTTAAAATCTTTTAGGTATAAGTACATATTTGTTATTTACTAATAAATTTGAATTCAAAATATATAATATTTTGTATAAAAATAGAAATATAATCATGATAAAGTGTCCGAGGAATGTCGGTATCCGACACGTGTCCCATATGTGTTTGACATAAATACGCTATCCTAGCTGAAGTGTCTGTGCAATAGAGAATGTATTCTTTCCTAGACCAGGATGAAGTCAATTAAGATTATCCTTTGTCAACCTTATTTATTAATTGTCTTACCTTTGTTCTATCTTTCGTGGCATGTATTAATTACTATTTTTGTTTTGCAGGGTTGGAATAAAAAGTGAGTGTACCGCCCCAGTATTTCAAATATATATTTTTTTTTTCCAATTCAACAATTTCGACCACTGAATGAGACATAGAATCTGGTCCACTAATGAGACGTAGAGTCTCCGCAGTACAATAAGTGATTATTGTAGCTGAAGGTAGAAATTTTCTTATATATAGTTCTAGTGGATTTTACAAACCCGACCCTGCCTACATTCTTGATCTTGGCTGTTGAAAATTAAAACTGGATTCTCACTTGCTCTCTTAGTCATCGACTGAACTACTAGATGTGTACAAGCAGAAGCATAATGGACATCGGTTGACAGATTTCGATGTGCCTAAGGGTTGTATTGGTGTTATTAGTACCTCATGCAGTGAATAGGTAGGTTTTGGACTAGCGTACAAATGATAATTGTGATTTTGCAAATTAGCTTCTTATCCTCATTTTGTGTAATGAATGTGATCTTCAATATATGTAGTGGGAAATTCTATCTCTGAAAGGTTTTCTGAGAGTTCCATTATAGCTTTTTTGCTGTACTTCTCTTCATTTACAGCAACCATAGTTTCCTTGGTATTTCAAAATTTAATAGCCAAGCATGTAATTTTTCCTTTGTTGTCCAATTATATATCACTTCTACCCGTACTCTGGCTGAAAAGTTAAATCAAGTGTCTAGTCATCATATGATGCAATAATAGAAGTAATTACTGCAGATTTATTGTAGCACCAAAACCAGCTAATTTTCAAGCAGTATTAATGTTAAGTGAACCATACAGAATCACTCACATAAGCTTTTAACTGTCCTGCCAATAGTTGGGATGAATGGGTAGGCATGGATCGGTTAATGAAGCATACCAAAGAGAATGTTTTGAAGAAGCAGGCACTTAATAAGAAAGTTGGTGCTGACAAGAGTACAAAATCAGGGCGATCATCTCAAGCGAAATCAAAAAGTCCAGCCGGTATGTCTGTCTTTCTTCAGTTCAATAATAGTATATTTAAGGGCTTGGACATTTGATTTCTATTTATTTGTAAGTTTCTCTACGTGTGTCTGGGCCACATAT